CACTGCCCCGCGGAGACAGGCCGGGACGGGCGCCGCCGGCCGCTAGCGCACGCGCGGCGCGGAGCAAGGTGAGCGCACCGGGCAGGTGCGGGCGAAGTTGGCGGGGACTAGAGTCCCGGGAGGGAGCGGGACGTCAGGCGGCCGGGGTTCGTCCACGATCCCCGCGGACTCGGAACGCGGTGATCTTGGTCAGTGACCTGATCTGCCGGAGCCTCAGTTTCCTCGGCTGTAAACCGAGAATTGCTGACAGTAGCGACCCCTGGGGGTTGTTGAGCGAGTTTAGTAAGACTTGGCTATTGAGGGCTTTATTAACCCAGAGCCTGGCACGGAAGCGACAGCGTAAAAGTTACTCCGTGTTGTTGTCAAAGGTGGCGTCGGACACTGGATTCCATCCGGGACTAGAAGAGCTCTAACTCTGCCTGCTTCTTTCTCTGGCCCCAGAGAGGTGGAGAAGAGCGGGTCTTTGAGAAAGAAGAGGAAGACGATGATGAAGACGAGGAGGAGGAGGAGGACAATGTGTCAGAGGGCTCAGAAGTGCCTGAGAGTGACCGTCCCGCAGGTGCTCAGCACCACCAGATTAATGGAGAGCGGGGCCCTCAGAGTGCTAAGGAGAGGGCCAAGGAGTGGTCGCCCTGTGGACCCTACCAGAGCCAGGACGAAGGGCGGGGACCGGCACCTGGCAGCTGCACACGCCAGGTGTTCTCGATGACAGCTGTGAATAAAGAGGGGGGATCAGGTAAGGACCCCTTTGGGCCGGGCAGCACAGAGCAGGGAGCTGTGAACCCCAGCCTGGAGCTGCCCCTGCTTTTCCTTCTCAGCTTGTGTTGCGGCTGCTCCGGATTCTCCATCTCCTGTGCCTTTGCCCCCAGGAAAACCAGCCCTACCTGGGGCTGATGGGACACCTTTTAGCTGTCCGTAAGTTGAGGCGGTAGGGACGCTGGGATTAGCGCCCGGGTGTATTGGACAGTCAGAGCTGATCCATGGTCACTGTTGCTCTCCATTCTGATGCAGTCCTGGGCGCAAAGAAAAGCCAACCGACCCAGTGGAGTGGACGGTCATGGATGTGGTGGAATACTTCACTGAGGCAGGCTTCCCAGAGCAGGCCACTGCTTTTCAAGAGCAGGTGAGTTCCCAGCCCGGGACTACACATGTCTGCACACACACAGGGCCTCACAGGTGTCCACTGACCCTGCCCTTTCTGTCCCGCCCAGGAAATCGATGGCAAGTCTTTGTTGCTCATGCAACGGACAGATGTGCTGACTGGCCTGTCCATCCGCCTGGGCCCAGCCCTGAAGATTTACGAGCACCACATCAAGGTTCTTCAGCAAGGCCACTTTGAGGATGAAGACCCTGACGGTTTCCTAGGCTGAGCGCCAGCCTTGCCCCTTCCCCAGCCAGTCCAGATCTCACCCGCAGGGCCCCCGTAGTCCAGGAACTGGACATGGGGGTACCCTCAACCTTCCTAACAGACTTCAGTTACCCAAAAGGGGTACCCTCCTCCATTTCCCTTTTTTCTCACGCCCTACCTTAGTACATCCCCTCTCCACAGCAGTGGAGTGTGGGGTAGGCGGACTTGGTTGGCTCGTTCACAGGGGCCACCTTTTCTCCCCAAACCAGGACACTTTTGAAAACAAACCAGGGGAGCTTCCTGTGGCCCCCAAACCCTCTTCAGTTCAGCCAGATGTATCTTATAAGTGTTTTGTTCTGCCTATCCATCCTGGTGGTGGGTTTTCTTCATTCTCCCCCGTGCCCTCCCCCACCCTGACCTCTGGCCTCTGGAGAGCAGGTGAGGTAAGGGACCTTGGGTCCTCCGGCTCCTCCCTTTCTGTCTGTCCATCGTTGCTCCACCTGGCTGTATTGCTTTTTAATATTGCACCGAAGGTTTTTTAAATAAAACTTTAAAAAAAAAAAAAAGAGTCCTTTTTCTGAATGGAGACAGGAGGTGCTAAGAACCGTGGAGAGTTTAATGTGAGAAGTTTTTTGGGGAGGGAGGAAGAACAGTGACGGCTTTCCTCAGCCCACTCCAGTAGGGCCGACTGGCCAAGCATGCAGAATGCTCGGCTTCCATCCCCAACACTGCTAAAGGAAATGGTGTTTACGGCACACCTGTTATCCTCAGCACTTGAGACGACGCAGGATCAGGAATTCAAGGCTAGCCTTAGCTACATAGTGCAAGGCCAGCCTATGCTACATGCAATCCTGTCTCAAAAAAATATGCCTCTAGGACCAGAACAGTTCCTTTGTCTTCTGTCCTCCTGCCTGCTCAAGTGTTTGTTGAGTGACTAACAGTTCACCGCACACTTCCTGAGCGTTTTGTTTCCTCTGTAGTTTAATGAAGCAGACGCCATAAAAACTCACTTTACAGAACAGGCCGACTGCCTTTGACACAGTCAAGGTGTGAGGGTCACGCAGGACAGTGTGTCACCTGTTGCTGCTTTACTGGGAGCCTTGTAATTAATGTATTTGGCTTCCTAGCCACACTTAAATCCCGGTCTTTGCACGTGGCTAGGAATCCAGTCTCCAAGTGTCAGAGGTGTGTTCTGGAACCAGGGCAGGCATACTGGAACAAAGGAGACAATGGGAAAAGCCAGGTCATCTGTCTGATAATCTTTATTGTAAAAGTAACTGCTGCTCACGAGTCTCTGGTAGACTCACATGCAGATCCCAGCTCCATCAGTGAAGAGTCAAATCTTGGGGGTCACCGGCAGGGGTGGAGCCTAGGCCTCTCGGTAACTGCACTCATGGATTCTAACATGTCAGGAACCCCTTCCCCTCCTGCCCAGTCAACGGCCTGTGAGAGAAAAGGCTGCCACCTGGCGGGTCTGGGGCTCCGCCCTTGGCATCGCCCTGCCCCGCGCGCGCCAGGTGCCCACCGAGCTTCGTGCGCGGCCCTCCGCGTGCTCAAATTCAAAAGAGGCAAACCCCGCGGGGCGGCGCCGGTAGAGACGTCGAGGCCAGGCCGAGTGGGTCGTGGCTGCGCTCACTGCCCCCGCCGATCGGCCTCAGGTGTGCTGCATTCCCGGGACGCCGCGGAGGCTGCAGGAGTCTGTGGTGGACGCTGATGGCTGCGGAGCCCTGGGTCGCTGGGTCGCTGGCCCTGGGCCCTGGGGAAGCACCGCCTTCGGACGAACTGGGACCCGGGCCGCCGCCCTATGGAGACCCCTCGTGGTCACCCGCCAGGAGACCCGAGGCCTCGGCGGAGCAGGAGCCCCAGCGGGCACAGCAGCTGATGGAAGCCCCGGCCTCCGCGTCTTCCCGGGAGCCACTGGCAGCCGAGCTCGGGCCGGCCCAGGCTCGCCTCCCACTGGACTCCATGTTCAGCCCCATCACTGACCAGCTCCGGTACCTGCTCAGGAAGGCGGATGACTTTCAAAGCTACTTGCTCTACAGGTGATCCTGGGCAGGGGCCTAGGTTCCAGGACAGGAGGACGGGCTGTGCAGCTCACACACAGGCCGAAAACTGAATCAGGGTCCAGAGACAGTACTCAAGGCTAGCTGATTAGGAATACACTTGACTAGTGTGCCGAGGGCTATGGAGAATTGAGAGGCAGGGGCGGGCAATGTGTAGGCTTGGGATACCAAGTCTTTCTTCCAGAATTTTGTTTTTGGTGGGTTGGTTGGTTGGTTATTTGGCAGAGTTTTCTTTTTCTTTTTTAGATAGGATCTCATCACACCCGAATTGATGACCCTCCCGACTCAGTCCACTGAGTACTGCCTACCAAATTTGAAATGCTGGCTTAGATTTTTTTTTTTTTTTAACCTGTGAAAGTCAGCTAAACAAAATCTATCTGCATCACCTCTGGCCAGAGAACTTCTAATGTGAGAGGCCACCCTCCACTTCCAAAGAAAAATGCAATTTCCAGACCAGGGGAAAAGACTGTGGTGTCTGTAGGAGACTGGCTTAAACCCCAGCTTTCTGAGTATCACTCAGCAGAGCTTTGAGAGAACTAAGTTGCACGTCCCCCCAAACATACCAGGGATGGAAACCAGGCCCTTGTGCTAGGCAAGTGTTGGACCACAGAGCTGCCCCCCAGCCCAGGTGTCGGCATTTTAACAAATTTCTACATGAGTGATGTAGGTGGTTCTGGAAGACGGGAGGAAGACAACACTGGGGGGGGGGGGGGTCCTTCTTATGCTGGGCAGAGACTAAAGCTTCACCCAGGTGAGCCCTAGTCTCTGCTGGCTTAACCTCCAGTCCCTTTTTACGTTTAATTTTTGGGTGCTGGGGATGGAACCCAGGGCTCTGCACGTGCTATTGAAGCGCTCTGACCATTAAGCCTCAGCACCGGGGGAATTCTGTAATGGGTTCAGCCAGGGATACAGGTGGAAGAGTAAGCATGGGACACCTGGGGATGGAGGCAAAGTGATGCCACGTGAAAGCCCCTTTCTCCCTTCAGCAGGGACCGAGTACAGAAGGAACAGCTAGCCAAGGCCATGCCCACCTTCCTAACAATGTGTGAGCCTTACTTCCTGTACCTTGAGGCTGCTGCAAGGAGCGTCCCTCCGATCTACGGAGCCCTGCAGGAGCTGGTCCAGAAGAGGGTGTGTACCGGAGCTGTCTTACCAGGCCCCTTTCTCCTTTGGACTCTGCCTAGGGGTAGGAGGGTTGCTTCTGGCCGACCATCTGAGGTCATGAAGTCCCACCTTCCGCAGCTGTTGGAGATCTCTCAGCAGCTAACCCTGCGCTTGGAGCAGTTAGTTCTCATGTATGCCTCCTTCGGGTTCGTGGACCTGGAGGAAACCAACCCTCTGAGGTAAGGGGGCAGGAAATGAGTGTGGGGTGTCGGAGGCCAGGGCCCAGCTTGCTGTCCACTCTATCTCCTGCTAGCATCTCCTGCTTCTTCTGCGGGAGGTTCTCCATCAGCCCTTCCCACGATGTGTCCATCTTCCGGTACTGCACCCCAGCTGCGTACACTGCCAGTCACTTCCCGAGATACCTCTACAAGAAGATGCGCTGGAACCTAGAGACCACCACAGAGGCCAGCAGCCAGGGACAAGACTCCCACGTGGATTAGTGAGTTTCCTTGTCAAAATCAAAGTCTTTCCCCTCCTGTGCTGAATGTCAGGTTGAACCTTTACACCACCACCAAAGAGCGAAAAGCAAGACAGGAAACGGAACACCTTCTGCAGTGCTGGGGTAAAACCCAGGACCTTGCATATACTAACTAGGCCAGCACTGTACACCACTGAGCTTCACCTCCTACCTTTAGTTTTCTTAACTCCACCTTCCCATTAAAATAAAAATCCTCATCTTCAGGTTAGGCCACCAGGGAGGAAAGTCCTCAGCATTGAGCCACACTGAGAACATCAGGCAACTTCTGATGGACTTGAACCTCACCTCCAGAATTAAAGCCCTCAGCAGAAAAACTTAAGGAATTGCTTTTCTTTCTCATCTCTCCCTCTCAGCTACTTCTTATGTTATCGCGATACATGGGAGGATGCAGGCCAGGGTCCAGCCAATTCGTGCCCCCAAATCCAGAAACTCTGGTCCATCGGCCGGTGGATACCCCTAGGACCAGCAGAGGATGACCTTGATTCATGGTAGGATCCCAGTGATGGTGATGTAGGCTTGAGGTCTGAGGGAGGGCGGGACCAGAACCCCAAGGACTGGATCTCGGGGAACACTCAGCTTCCACTGGCAGCAGGTATCGCGTTTTACTGTGCCCTGAAAAGTGCTTTATGCAGACCAAACAGCAGTTCATAGGGGTGTGGACCAATCCATTTTACAAAGAAGGAAACATGTTTTCAGAGTGGATAAGTCACTCTCCCAGGAAGCTAGTAAAGTGATTAGCAGCCTCAGGTCCAGAGCTTCAACTCAGGAGTTTGTCAACAGGGGAAACACTTTCCCTTAGGGTATCCCCCACCCCTAACTGGAAGCCCCTCCCAGCCTTGAGGAGCAGGGGTGCTCAAGTCCAGGCTTGTCTCCGGGCCCCCAGGATTTTGTGCCCGCAGCCACCCGGGGACTACCAGCAGCTACTAACCATCGGCTTCGAGGAGCCGTCGCATGTGCTGGCCACCGACCTGCTGGTACAGATCCTCATGGGCCAGGTCGGCCCCGCCCGGCCCCCCAGCGCTGCCGGGCCCTCGGCTTGGGCTGCCCCGGCATCCTGAGCCCCAGGAGAAGACGCCAGCCCCGGCTTGATAACCCCAAACTCCAGGCAGGAACAGGGGCGGGCTGCACTGAGTACGCCGCGGCACGGGCCACCGAACACCAAGTGCACACACACTTTTCTGTTAATAAAAGAGCGAGGTCAGAGGTTCTGTGTCTCCTGTGAGCGCCGCGTCCCTCCCCTGGGGGCGGGTAGGCCCCGCCCACCGAGGGGCCTTCTGGGAAGTGTAGTCCAAAGACCTCCGCGAGAGAGCTGCGCGTGCGCAGAAGCACACATGAGTCAAAGAGGGAAGTAGCGGCTCTCGTCAGCAACCGGAACCCAGAAAACAAGTTTCTGGTAGCAGGAAAATTCTAGGCCCACCGGAGGAAGACTTAGAACTACGCCCGTTTTTTTTAACCCGGAAGTGATTCCTATCCAGGGTTTAAAAAAAAAAAAAAAACCCACAACTACATTTCCCAATGTGCCCTAGGAAACTGCGGGGGCTCAGTTTGCAGAGTGGAGTCGGACTTTCTTCAGCTTTTGGGGTGCCCGAGGCGAGCTGATTGTTGTCTTGCCCCACGAAGAGTCCGGAGTGCAGGGTAGCCGAGTCCTGGGGCGCTCGGCCTCACATCGGTCTTGGGCTGGCGAGGAGGCTCTAGCCGAGAGAAATGAACTCCTGCTCCGTGCCATGCTCTGGGTTCAGGATCTGGGTCTTCCGAGCGAAATTGGTCCCCGCATAGGAATGGGGTTCTTCCTCCTCCCCTGGGTCACTCTGAGAGGTCGATATTTGGATCCTAAAATTTTCACAGAGTCAGAATGTGAGACCCAGAATTATTGAGGCCCAGAACCATGCCTTTGTGGTTTTTGATTTTTTTAAGAGTAATTTTTTGCCTGGTGTGGTGGCGCACGCCTTTATTCTCAGCACTAGGAAGGCAGAGGCAGGTGGATCTCTGTGAGTTTGAGGCCAGACTGGACTACAGAGTGAGTTCCAGAACAGTCAGGGCTGTTACACAGAGAAACCCTGTCTCAAAAAACAAAAGGGTAATTTTTATTAGCCGGGCATAGTAGCACACACCTTTAATCATAGCACTCGGGGAAACCAAGGCAGGGGGGTCTCTTTGAGTTCGAGGCCAGCCGAGTCTACATAGTGAGTTCCGGGATGTCAGGGCTATGTAAAGAGACCCTATCTCTCTCCCAAAAAAAAAAAAAAAAAATGTTTTATTTTTATTAATATGTGAGTTTTCCCTGCTTGCCCAAGGAGGCCAGAGAGGGCATCGATACGCTGGGACTGGAATTATAGTTGTCAGCCTCCGTGTGGGTGCAAGAAACTGAACAAGGGTCCTCTCGAAGAGCCTCCAGGGCTTTTTATCAGCAAAGCCGTCTGGCCAGCACTTTTTTCTTCTTTTTAAATCCAGTCTTAGTATATAGCCCAGGCTGTCCTTTTCGTCCAGCCTGGACCTCCAGAGTGCCACCATGCCTTATGCGTCAGTAAGTCAGCTGGTAACACCTGGTACATACTAATCTAAACCTGTTTGAAACAGATGTGACCAGTGCGCTGACTCCAGGTTACACACCAAACCCAGGCTCTTACGGAGAGGCCTCTGCTAACACCAATGACTACATAATGTTTTACTCCACAGCCCGGATCAGAATATCCAAGACTGTTCTGATTCCTCCTAGTGTTGACTGGACTAACTGCTGTGCCTATTCACATCGTCCCTCCCAGCACACACTTGGGGGGCTCACAACCATTTGTAACTCCAGTTGTAGGGGATCCAGTGCCCTTTTTTTGGCTTCTGCAGGCACACAGGTAGTACACAGACATACTGCAAGGGAATTTATACTTACCATACAGATAAGTATAAATACTGATGTCAGGGTTTGTGGGTGTAGTTGAACTTAGCATGCACAAGGCTCTAGGTTTGATCCCCAGCACTACAGAAGAGTTGGCTGAGCACAGTGGTGCATGCACACCTGTGATCCCAGCACTCGGGAGCTGGAGGATTGCTGTAAGCTGGAGGCCAGCCTTGCTTAATAAAACAGAGCTGTGTGTCATGTACTTGTCACACAAGCTCAGTTTGAATACTGGAACCCACCTAAAGATGGAAGGAGAGAACTGACCCCAAAACGTTGTCCTCTGACCACCACACATATGTAGTAGCATGTCGTCCCCCCATCATACACATACACAATATAAATATGCTGTCTATGAGAGTACATACCTTTAATTTCTGCTTGAGAGGGAGAGTCAGGCAGATCTTGGTGAGTTCGAGGCCAGCCAGGACTACATAGTGTGGGAGGGAGCACTGGAGAGAGAGCCCAGTAGTTAAGAACACTGGCTGCTCTTCCAGAAGACCAAGATTCAGTTCCCAGCACTCGCATTGTGATTGGCAACCATCTACAGCTCCAGTTCCACAGCACTGAACACCCTTCCCACGGCACGAGTATGCAGACATACATGCAGGCAGAACACTCACATAGTTTTAATTTAAAAAATAAGGTGGACAGCTTCTGAGGAACATCCGAGGTTGACCTTTGGCCTCCACACACAGATGTGTGCACTCACATGAACTCAGACAGACACACCACACCCACCAAAGAGCAGCTTGTATTCCATTTGCCACCTTAGTGGCTCTCCACTGTCTTCCCATCAGTCCCGAGGTCACAGTCAAGCATTCGGCGATGTAGACTCTGGCAGGGTCCTTCTGGGGCTGACATCATATGGACCTTTCCCTTGTTTATCTGATGCCATTTCATTAGTCACTTGCTGTAAGCTGGAGGTCAGCCTGGTTAGCACAGTGAGACTCGGGGGCCAGAACCGACAAGTCAGAAATTTAAACCATAATGCTAGTATTTAATTTGTGTCAGCGTGTGTGTTATTGTGGACAGGCCATGGCATATGTGTGGTGGCTGGAAGAGAACTCTGGGTGTCAGCCCTAGTCTTCCGGCTTGTTTTACACAAGCTGTTGTGTGTGCAGACTAGCTGCCCTCAAGTTTCCAAGGATTCTCTTGTCTCTGCCCCTCACTTCCTAGTAAGGGCCTGCAGGACTTTGCATGCACCATGGCTTTTTATGTGGTTTCTGGGGATCTGAATTCAGATTATCAGGCGGGCATGATGAATGTTTTACCCACTGAGACACCTCCTCAGCCCCTCTATTATTTATATATTTTTTGAGACAGGGTATCATATAGCCAAACAGCCTCAAGCTCTCTATGTAGCTGAGGATGGCCTTGAACTTCTGATCTGTCTGCTCCGACCTCTGCAATTACAGTTTGCACCAAGGTTTATGTGTTGACGGGCAAGTACTTCACCTACTGAGCCGTATCCCCAGCCCTCCACACTTGCACGGTGTTTTGAGGGCCCACTTTTTCCAGTCCTCGCACTTCTAAGAAGCTGTTAAACTACCCTGACAGTATGTGAATTACACAGATACCGTTTTCTCAGACCGTGTAGAGTGTTTACCAGAACTGAGCACGGTTTGCAGTGTACCAGCCACTGGTCACTCCCACTTGCGGTTCTCCCTCTCCTGCAACAGGAGATCACTATGTAGACCAGGCTGACCTCGAACTCAGATCTGCCTGTCTCCAATTCCTAAGTTCTGAGTTTAAAGGCAAATGGCTGCATACCAGTCCCACTTGAATAATTTTAAGTTTTTTTAAAAACCTGGTATGATGACATAGGCCTTGAATCCTAACACTTAGGAAGCAGAAACAGGAAGATCACAGGTTCAAAGCCATCCTGATCCACATAGCCAGCCAGGGTTATATAGTGAGTCCCTATCTCAAAAGATTTTTAAAAGGGAAAGAGGTTCCTAAATAGTAAAAATCAGTAGTTTTGTTTTAGCTCAAACCCAGAGCCTTCTACTTGCCAGGCAAATGCTCAAGATTTGTTTTTTAATTAAAGAATATTTTTTTCCGAGACAGGGTTTCTCTGTGTAGCCCTGGCTGTCCTGGATCTCGCTCTGTAGACCAGGCTGGCCTCAAACTCACAGAGATCCACCTGGCTCTGCCTCCTGAGTGCTGGGATTAAAGGTATGTGCCACCACAGCCCAGCAAGGATTTTTTATTTTTAAAAATTATATATGTGGCCAGGCATGGTCGCACACACCTTTAATACCAGCACTCAGGAGGCAGAGGCAGGAAGATCTCTGTGAGTTCAAGGCCAGCCTGGTCTACATAGTTCTAGGACAGCTAGGACTATATAGAGGAGAGAGCCTGTCTTAAAATATGTGTGTGTGTGTGTGTGTGTGTGTGTGTGTGTGTGTGTGTGTGCATGAGTGTGTGTGGGCTCAGGCATGAAAGTGTGCCTGTGTATTCCAGGGTGCCAGAGGAGCCCAAAAGACAGGATCTGATTTTCTGGAGCTGGAGTTACAGGTGATTGTGTACCACTCAAAACTGTGTGCCGGGAAATAAACCTGGCTCCTCTGCATGCACAGCAAACATTTTTTTTTGGTTGGTTGGTTGGTTGTTTCTTTCTTTTTTTTTTCTTTCTTTTTTTCTTTCTTTTTTTTTTTTTTTTTGGTTTTTCAAGACAGGAGTTTGCTGTGTAGCCCTGAGCTGTCCTGGAACGCACTCTGTAGACCAGGTTGGACTCAAACTCAGAAATCTGCCTGCCTCTGCCTCCCAAGTGCTGGGATTAAAGGCGTGCGCCACCACTGCCTGGCAGAGTAACAAAAACTCTTAACTTTAGAGCCAGCTCTCCAGTCCTGAGCTTTTCTCTTTTAGGAACAGTTCCAAGGCTGGAAAGATGGCTCTGTGGTTAAGAGGACCTTGCTCTCCTTGCAGAGGACCCAGGTTCAGTTCCCACCACCGGCCTCTGGTAGTTCATAACTGTAACTCCAGCTCTAGGGGATCCAACACCTCTCTAGACTCCAGGGGCATCTGTATATCTGCACTCTCACACACATACCTCTACAAACACACACACACACACACACACACAATTAAAAATAAAATAAATCTTGTGGCTGGAGAGAGGGCCCAGAAATTAAGAGTATTTTTGGAGGACCAGGGTTCAGTTCCCAGCACTCACATGGTCCCTCACAACCATCAATAACTTTAGTTCCAGGGAATCTAGTGTCCTCTTCTTGCTTTTGCAGGCACTACACATAAGGCACGCGCGTGCGCACACGCACACACACACACACACACACACACACTATCAAAACACTTATACACACAACATAAATCAAAAAAATCTTTTAGGGCCGGGCGTGGTGGCGCACGCCTTTAATCCCAGCACTCGGGAGGCAGAGGCAGGCGGATCTTTGTGAGTTCGAGGCCAGCCTGGGCTACCAAGTGAGCTCCAGGA